TCTTGCGGAAATTCCCAGCACGTAACAATGTCAGACAAGTCTCCCTTTCTTTATGATAGGGTCCAACTAATGGTTGTCTCTGTAGGTGAAAATTGGCCATTTTTGAAAATTTCTCTAAAATCCCCCCCCCCCCCCCCCCCAATAATGATAATACATGCATTCCATTTTCATTTCTGAACAGAACAATCTTTTATCTATTGAATGTGGAAGCATATTTTTAGATTTCAACCTTTTTTTGTTTTAATATTTTATGTAGACTACTTTTAGACCACCACAAAGGGGGCTTTGTTATATACATGTCACTTTTACATAGAGCACATGAAAAAACTGTAATAACTAATTGCATCATTCAATAGATGTACTATTCAGCTACAAAGTGAGCCATATTACATTTATTTCAGACAAAATATGTGTGCTATGCTTAACAATGTAGTGTATAGAAATAGCACGTTTTCTTTTCAGTATGGATAACAAATGATACATGTAATAGTTCTACATGATAAAATCATCTTTTATTTCCCTGTATCATTCCTATAATAAAGGCTTAAAACATAAAATGCCAGTCTGAAATACTATCATTCTCCATGCCACTGAACATTACACTTGCAGGCTGGGATGTGAGAGAAGGGACTGTGCACGTGTTCCTGAGGCCCACCTTTCACACCAGCACTCCTGTGAAATACAAATATACAAATACAGGGTGGTGTAACAGTTTGAATATACGATATATCTGTATATACAGATCATTACCATGTATTTTGTGACCTTATATTTATGCATATTGTTACCTCCATTTGTTTGTTTAGTTTATTTATTTGATACAAGGGTAACTCATTGTTATGAACACATTTTAATTAATATTTTTCAGAGGTGTGTCTTACCCAATTTAGACACCATTTAGACGTTGGTGGTGATCTGGATGATGATCTGGAGATAGGATTTTTGTTTTCTAATTATAATAATTATGGACAGATTTTAATGAGGTGTGTCTTAGCCTAACTTGTATTCCATAAAATTTTGGTGGTGATCTGGATCATTTGGCAAACTTACCTCCAATTTTTTTAGAGGGGGGATGGGGAGTTTGCATGTTCAAAACATTTTGCTGAAGGATGAAACTGATGAAATATCCAAAGAAACAAAATAAAATACTCTCTATGAATGGCATATCATTCTTATTATTTGTATACAAAAATTCTTTATTTTTTTCTTTTTGAACTAAAAAAAATGAAGGTGGGTCTCATAATAAGTGAAATTTTATAAGCCTTCTGGAAATCCTCTCATATTCTTATTGTATCTGATTGTTATGTCACAAATGCCAATTTTCGAAGATCAAGTTGCAAAATCATATTTCAATGGACATCGAAGGTGGCTGCTATCATATTAAAAATAGCGGGTGGGCCTTAAAAATTTTAGGGGAGATTCGGAGGCCCTGAAACTCTTTGAAAATGTATATAACTCAAAATTGGCAAGGTGGAAGATTTTGGCTGAAAATTTGGTAGACAATTCCCGTAAGTTCTTTGTTTATGGAGTTTTACTGATGATTTCCCCAGACAGTGTTTCTCTGTCCCAAGCATGGCCTTATTTTGAGCTTGGCAATCCTCAAGTCAGAAACATATTTTTCGTTTCATCATCAGGGTTCATCCAGCCAGAAACAAGTTTGAGAAATAATACTGATAGACAATTCAAGCTCTAGCTGTATCATCATTTTCAATTTTTTATTTTTATTTTTATATATTTTTTCTTTCTTTTTTATCAAACCATCCACAACCCTCAGGAACATCCTTGCAAATTTTATTTGAGTCTTGACCAGGGGTTGTGAGAGCCTTTGCTCCAAAGGATAATCATAAAGAAAAAGGATTTTTTTGTTCTTTTCTTTCTTTCTAAGTTTATGTGAAAGAGTAATTATGTCTCTCACCCCCCTACCAATTGATGTTCTGCCTTGTTACCATATTGCTTGCAGTTGTACACCATGTGTTTATATAAATGCATTTACTAAATAGGTACATAACTAAGTAATTACTCATTGTACAGTAAAACCTCATATTTGGTGAGGCCTTACCTTAACCAATTGCTGCCACGCATTGCATTTAGTGACCATATTAAATTTAGTCGATATGCTCTTTGCCAAATACAGTAGATAACATCACAGAAAACAAAGCACACAAGTTTATGTCGGTTCCTTCTAGCCTATATTAATAAGTGATCATTCAACTGTTTACATAAGTAGGTATGGGGGAGGATTTGAGAATACCAGTGACTTATGATGTTATTGAGAAAGAAACATAAAAGGGAAATAAGTTTTATCGTTAAATGATAAGTTCCAATGAAAAGAAACTTGTTAATGGTTCCCCATGATTTCATATCTTGATTCCTGAGAATGATAAAGAAAGAAGTTAAGTTTTTAATGCTAAACAAGAAAAATTGCATGGAGATGCCTGATTTTGGTATATATCTATATATCATTTTTTTATTTTTATTTTTTATTATCATTAATCAACTTGCTTAATATAAAGCTTTGAAGTAGGATTAAGTAGGGACACAGCAAATATGATTTAATGTAATAATATCAAATAACATAAGTAAACAGACACAGACACGCCCACACATACAGACATACACAAAGACCTACATACAGACATACATACACACAGATATACACATATACACACATATACACAGATGTACACGCGCACACGCATGCCCACGTGCGCTCACTCGTTCACACACACACACACACACACACACATTTTTAGACAGATATTCACACTACATAAGGTCACAAGTTTTGACAAGGGTAAAGTGTATTATTTTAAGTTGAATAGTGTAATGCAGTTTGTTTCTTCTTTCTACATCATTAAATTATTATAATTGTGGTTTATTGTTATAACAGCCATTATTATATATTGTAACATTACTCGTGTTTAATTCAGGTACAATGATCTTGCTTGCTTGACTATTTATTTGTTACCTTCTCTCTCTCACTCCAGGAACTGTTTGTGGAATCCCTGGCTCTGGAGGCTTACCACTACACAAGCCAGTCAAAGAAAAAGACTGTATCGAGGCGAGATGTTGACCACTGCATTGATGCCATAGAAGCACTAGCCTTTTTGGATGGTGCGATGGACTGATGGTGGACCGTTAGGAGGGGGAATCTTTGTCTTTGTTCTTATGTCAGTTACATTGCTCAAATGTTACTCCTTACTCAAGGATTCTGACTTGATAAAACTTTGAACATAGAAAAGGTTTGAATGAGAATGAATTTTCAGTGCGAGAGCTAGGTTGCAATTATTATAGTCAAAATTGTCTCTTGCACTGTGAAGATATTCTCTCATACATACCTCATGTATTTTTCACAATGAACAAACTTTAAATGTTGCTTTTCTTCCCATTATTTGAGCTTACAGACTCATATAAACTTTGAACACTTTTCAAGGTCTACTGGGATATCTACACAATAGATATGAAGAGTAGACAAATAATAGTCTGGTATTGGTTTTAAAAATGCTTTGTAAAGACTTTCAGAAGACAGTTGATGATTAATCCCAGTGCCTTGTCTTAATCTGTGATTTTATGTAATGTTATTCTTTAAATAAAATGTGTATATATTAATAACAAAAGGTCTGTCATTCTATCTTATACCTTGATAATTATATACATTCACAAGCTCAGACTGGAAAATTAGACCAAACAATATGATTTTTAGTAAATATAAAGATTTTACATATTCATGGTAGTTGTACTTTGATTTAGGTTGAGAAACCTTGAGCTGAAAAAGTCTTGTAAGGCACTGATAAATACATATGAAAATGAATAATAAATAATAATAAAAACTGCAATTTGTCATTTTAGAAATACATATGGACAATTACCCATCTTTTCTCATTTTCTAAAATGCAGCACATTTTTTATGTTCCTTTGCTGAAATGCATCACAATATGTCATATTGTAGATGTATTTCATAAGTAAACTTTAACTTGGAAAACCTTATAGAGACAAAAATATAATATTCAGTAACTGTTCCTTTGTCACTTGATAAAAAAAAACATTTGGTATAGTTCCACTTCACATGCTTTATTTGTCAGTTAAAAATATATAAAAAAAACTATCATAATTCCCCTGTAGAAGTATCTAAATCATAAACCTGTAATCCAACACCATACACAAAAAGCCTCTGTAGCAAATCAGTTTCAGAATTATTGGTGTTGGAACTGTTCTTATTTATAGGAATCACAGTCAAACCTTTTACATCGGGTACACCAGTATATGCTGAACGTGTGGCTTTCAGATACGTTCTTGTTGCACTTCCTGGGGTGTCTGTGTGGCAGAGCTCCCACACAATAACTCTCTGGTCAACTGAAGTGCTGACTAGCAAGTTAGGCGATATCCATTCCAGGCCTTTGAAAAAATAAGATAAAATAATAATTTGTCAAATTTACATGTAATTTCTTTTGTCTAATGATTGTTTAATAAATGAATTAATGAAATAAAGGTACAAGGATAGTTTTTATAAATAATTGCTTTGGAAATAAATAAAATTGACCTACCAGTAATTTGTGAAGCATGTCCAATCGCACAGCAGAGAAAATCAACAGCAATTTTTGTTAAGCCATCCTCTGAAGTGTCTATTATCACATCCCAAACAGACAGCTTATTATCATCCCCTCCAGTTGCCAGAGTTAAGCTACTCCTATAACTCTCAACATCTGTGGGTTTGCCGTGGTAGTTGATTGATAAACTGTTGACACCAGATTGATGACTTTGGACGACAGCTAGTTGATGCAGTTCCAGCGAAGGGGGTGGATTGTCGACTGCAACATTAGGCGTGTATAACCAATTTACAATGGACTGAAAAGAAAGTAGTAAGCAGGATAATTAGGGCTTGTGTTTAAACACACAGAACTTGATATTAAAATGAAAATTATTCACTAAATCATTTTTTAGACAACCTTTATAAAAAATTTCATTATCTGACTGTTAATACAGTAACCTGGATTCTACATGCATAATTACCTTCATATCCCAGAATACAACCCTTCCATCAGTGCCAGCAGAGGCAAGGATGTGTTGTGTCTGGATTGGTACTCTGACCACCTTCAGGAGGCAGTGGTCACATGCACGGGCACACACCAGCTTCAGTTTCTCAGTGCATCGACTGAACACAAAGACCCTGTTAAGTGAAGAGGTTAAGTGTAATACTGGGATTGAAAGTGTTACTGTATAATGAAAGCTGATTTTTTTCCCCCCCAAAAGGAATATATGCAATAAAGTCACATGAAGCTATATAAAAATTAACAAACACAAACAATAATTTGCATTTTTTCCTGACTATGTTTTGGGTCTTTTATACACAGAAACAAATCCTAAGCTTTATACATATGATTCAATTAAACACTTTTCTTATATAAGGCCATTATATATCATGTCAGCTTGTTTTCTGTATCTCATAAAAAATATATATACAAATAAGATTTATAATTTGTAATCTGTATTTTCATCAAATTTCTGTCTCATTACATTCATAAATATGAAGAAATGGAAAGAAAAAAGTTTGAATTACACATATAATGTGTCTTATAGCAGATACTAGCCTATTCCAAATACAAACATCCTACCTCAAAACACCATCAGATGAGGCTAAGACAATCACTGCTAGCTTATCAGTGATCCAGAAAGCATTGGCATCCATGTAACGTGTTTCAGGGTCAAAGGTCAGTTCCTGGCTCTTCCAGGTCTTGTTACTTCCTGTGCGAATCATGTGGGATGTAACCTCCCTGCAACCAACACTCAGCATCTTTTCTCTGCTTGAGTTGCATGTTACTGAAGTGTTATCCTTTTGTGAATGTTGTTCTTGCTGATGAGTGTTTTCTTCTTTGCTCCTTGCTACTGGGACTTTTTCCTGATGCCCACTACCTGCATTTGGTAGGTTCTTCTGTGAAATGTAATTGGGGGCGACTTCCCACAGTTTCATCTGTGCCCTTCCACCCCCAGACACGAGCCAAACACTTCTATCCAAACCTGCTGGATTACTTGCTCCTTCCCATTCTATGCGACACAGAGCCCTGATGTTAGAAATGTGACTGCGCACGACACAAAGTGATCTGTGGCTCTCGAGACCATGGACAGAATGGATACGTAAAGTTGTGTCTTCACCTCCCATCGCAAAGAACGTTTTACCTTCCACATGAAAAAGTGTTTGTAGGCACATTGTTTCACGAGTGTTTACTGGGTTCTGGAGAGATGAGAGATAAAAAGTGAATTGTAAAGCTGTTCAAAATCTAGTAAATTAAAAACACTCATTTACCTTTAAATCTTAGGTTGTTTACAGAAAGTTCTTTGTTCTGTCAGCTACTTAATTACATGTTTTAAATTCATGTGAGATGTTACAAATGTCTTTTCCACTGAAAAAATTTCTAGATGGCTTCCAACTTGAGGCAATTTCTCCTTATGAAAATATGCTTGAATATATTACACTAAATGCTATCCACTATTGTAAGTTCTTTATCATATAATAATATACTTTAACATTAGTAATTAAAAAAAACAAACCTACAATCCAGATGAAAACCATCACTTCATGATAAAATTTGGCTTGAGGGGCAGGTGATGTTAACATGTCTCACAAGTGATAGTACTGTGTTGTTCACAAGAATTTATTCATCAAGTTGGCATGGCAGGAATGACTTGACAGGCATGCACAAAGCTCTTGGAGAGTGATTAGACTCATTGGGTATTTAGGAAGGGGCTCTTACTTTATTTTCATCAATAAACAAGTGTGGACTCCAGGTTGGGCACCGTTTCAATGCTTAGGATCCTATTCCTGCCCATCATGACCAATGGCACATGTATTACTGGAAATTCAGTATTCAGAAAAAAAAAAAAATTACAAATAACAAAATGTTACTTATTCTTATTATTATTGCACTGAGTTGTGGACTACCTTGAGAGATGATAGGGAGTCTGTGCAAGAAAAACAATCTATTAACATTTGGAGACAGCAAATCATATGACAAATATAGCAAATGACAAAAAAGAAGAAACTAAAAAATGCTTATGCAGGAAGAGAGAACAAAGCTGCAAAGGTGAGGCAAGAGTCTTTGCACCTTACATGAATGTTTGTGTGCACCCAACCAAAAAGCCATTCCTGTCAGAGTAAACACACAAATAAGCCTAATGCCTGAATTTTGGGCCAGGCAGCAATGCATCCAGATCCATGATGTTTTGTTGTAAAATACTAATATATTCTTTAAATAAATACCTGTATCATTGTACACAGATGAAAAAGAAATCTGAAACTAATTTTTTAAACAAAAAACCTACACCAAATATGCCACTAAAACTAAATCAGAAGACAATAAACATCCTTCTTAAAAAATGGAACAAACCTTAATCATTGGCATAAGCTTGTCAGCCAATGTTGTGCGAAAGATGCAAGGTATCCCATCTTTAACGAAGAAGAAGACCAGTTTGTCCTCCGATCTTGATGCATGGAGAGCCCATGATCGGTGGCCACCTCCGCACTCAACTTCCACCACTGCTTGATCTTCAGCAAGGTTCCACAATTTGAGGTTGACCTGTTTACATGATATGGGAAGGATGTACTGGGATGATAGTCACATTTGGAATAGTGGTGTGGTGGTGATTAATTCAATTTAATTTATTTATTCATAATTTTTTTACTATTTATTCTTTTTTCTTCTTACTTTCTCAGAATGTCTGACGTCTAAAAGGTTAAAATATTAAATTCTACATAACATGGAAAGAGAAACTTTAATGAAAGGAGTAAACTTAACACTCTATATCATTACATAGATATATTGATCGAGTCAAACCCTTTGTTGTGCCACAAAACTGCACTCACATCATGGAAGCAGAGGGCCAGAGGTCTCCCTTGAAGAAATATGACCTGAGCTACCCAGGTCACATTGCTGACCCTTGTGACTGTGAGCACCTGTATGCCCTCATCGAAGAGCTTTAATTGACGAACACATCCATCTCGTCCTGAGCTGTAGATGAAACCTTCATGGATGACAAGGCTTGTTACCCCATTCTTACCATGGATCCCACGGATGCTCTGCCTTGGCACTGAGTCCTAGAGAAGAGGAGTAATATTATTGCAAAAAAAAAAAAAAAAAAAAAAATTAAAATGGCAGTAAGCAATGTTGAGCACTAAATTTTACCAAAAAATTATTCTGGCACTATTGATTTTTAAATTTAAGTAGCACTGAAACATTAAACAAATATGTTTTTCTCACTTAATTTTGTTTTTCTTACCCATTTTTTCCTGTATCTGTTAAAGATCCATTTATTCATTAATATCACACACATTTTTTTGTACCTCCTGGTGATACAGGTGTAGACTGCCAGCTCTATCCCCGCAGATCAGACCATAACCTCCTGGGACTGTTGACGGTGCAATGCAGGCAGCTGATACCCAACGTTGTTTACAAGGAGGTAGGGTGTGATTCCTTTCCTTCACCATTGAACCTTTAAATCAAGAGTTTTTATTAAGGTACATACTATTATGATCCTCCTGCTCATTACAAAATATAAGGGTAAAATCATTAAAATTCTCGCAATGAGCATATGAGGATAAGATCTGCAATTAATCCATTGGCTCTGGGTAAATATACTGTCCATTGTAGCTTTGTTTTGTAATATTTGTTTATGCATAGGTGGCTCCACAAGCACTTTGTCATTAAAGAGTCTGTTGATCTAACTAACCTTATCTGATTTTCCTTGTACTTTTTTCAATACTGTTAATATCATTTCTGTTGTTGATGTTGTTGTTTTCACTTATATAATGATTATTCTAATGTTATTAACAATACTAAGAACAATAAAAAAACAGGTGCCATCTGGTAGAACTGAGTCCTTGATGTTTGTGGAATCACGTATGTGTACAGTAGACATGGCATGCATGTACACACCATCCCTGTAGAGCTGAAATACCCTTTTTTGAAATTTAGGTTAATGAAAGTATAGTCACAACTTTAACTCTTGGTCATTTGATATATTCCTTTGTTGTTCTCTGTTCTGCTCTGCACTCATAAGATATTACCAAAGATATCAACTTACTTCAGCCTAGTTGTCCCTTCATCACATGTACAAGTTGACACAGAGCATAAGTTAATGAGAAGTTATGGCCCTCTAAGAACCAATTGCACAGAATGTTATAAACCTTAATAAAACTATAAAATCTGGATATTTCGTGAAACCCTATAAAACCCTATTATACCATACCTTGGACTTCCAGGAGTCTCCAGGTCACGATGTCACCATCAGGCCCACAAGCAAGGATGCGATCAGAACCTAGCCACAGAAGGCTAAATACTTTCCCTTGGCAGAGTGTGGCTTCTAAGTGTTTTTCCCAGTTACCATTACCTGCTGGTTAAATAAAAATGACTTCACTTCCTTAATCTCTCTCTTTTTTTTTTTTTTTAATCAATTTGACACAGATTTTTTTTCTCTCTCTCTTCCTAATCATGAAGCCTTGATTAATTCTAGGCATTTAAGTCAATAAGATTTAGAATTAAATTGTGGAAAAGGGTTTTCTTTGATATTAGATATTATCATGTCTTTCTAACATTTTACAAATGTCTCATAATATAAAGTATAGAAATGACAAAAAATCATAATAGTGCTTCTTACTTATTCTGAAGATAAGGACAACACCACACAGCATTCCCACTGCAATTTTTTTCTGGTCTGAACTCGTGTCCATTATGACATATTTTCGCATTCTTGGATCATCCCAAACCAGTGTCCAAGTGGCATGTTCAGAATGCCACTGGAATAAGCGTCCACTGTCCATTGCTAGAAGAAATTGGTTAACTCCAACTAGTGCAACACATCGTGGAAAGTCATTTGCCTTTGGCAGTTGATCAGAATTATTTTTAGTACACCTCTTAATTGTCTCAGCCCCTTCAAAATCAAAATCTTCAAAAACTTCACTATTCTTCAACATTTCTAACTTGTATCCTTCATCTTTTCCTGATGCCAGTAGCTGAGGGGAAACATCTGTAACTTTACTATGTTCATTTTCAATTAATGGGGTTTCTTTCTCTGTAAGACACCATGGACCATTTAGGAGAGGTTCTGCCTTTGGGGAATCTGTTACATTTAAGCTCCATGTCTTGACGCTGCCATCTCCTCCTCCAGTAACCAATTGGCCCTCATCTTCTGATGCTGCTACATTCCAAACACACGAGCCATCATGAGCCTTCCACCAACTAACAAGCCTCCCTTGCTGGTCCCATACACACACCTTTGAATCCTCTCCGACACTCACCACACAGGAGGACAAGATGAGAGACTGCCAAACTCTTGCCCCATGACCATAGCAGATGTGCTTCTCTGTGATCTCTGCATCTAACCAGTACCGTTGCACTTGCTCTTTGTTAAATACCTGAATGGAAGGAGGGGAGTGTGTGTCGCTTAAGGGGTACTTTGGTATTATGCTCCACATTCTGAGAGTTCTGTCATCTGAGGTTGTGGTGAGGAGGCCCTGAGCAGCAGAAAAGTTGATCGAGAACAAGACACCCTGTGGAATTCAATAAGGACATATATGAATACATTGTATTAGCACAATTCAAGTTTGAAATGAAATTAAGAATGCATAAAGAAAACAAATACTTCATAGTATTGACTCACCATATGGAAGTATTCAAAAGCAATTCTATGTTGTTGTTGTTTTGCCTTGATTAAAACCATCACCATCAGTTGTTACAAATAAAATGGTTTAGGCTAACAAAATAAATAAACAGAAGACAGCACAAAAAACTAACCTCATGACCTGACAGACAGTGCATCGGTGCAACCCTTCCCCTTGGATCTGTACAGCCCCAAGGACCCCATATCAGGACTTGGCTGAACACTGTACCAGCCAAAAGTACAGCACTCTCCCAGTTTCCAGCCATTAGCACTATATGGCCACAGTATAGAATGCAGTTCTCTGTGCAGTCTACCTTTACCAACACACATCTGTCTGGCTTCCATCTTGTGTTTTTCCAGGTCAAAAGTTCAGTCTTTGCTGGAAAACCCAAATGACTCTTATTCTGCCACTGAACAAAATCCTTTTTTTCTTCATGTGCTGGGCAATTTCCCTCACTTTCCACAAAGGTACCCTGATAAGTTTGCTCTTCAAGATCTTTAGAATACTGCAGTTTGTATCTGATTAGCGAGTTGTGTGCAGTTGCAAGTACAATGTGTGACAAATTATCTTCTAAGACTGCATCAATAATCCAATCTTCAAATCTTCTTTCTTCAATTAGTGAATTTCTGTAAGGGAAGAAACAACCTATAGTATATATACACTAAACACATAATAGGTAAGCATGGCAGTGTTCTAGAAAACTTTCAAATAGGCAACTACCAAAAAGTTTACAGTAGCTATTGAATTCTAGTACAAGCACACTGTAAAAGAATATTTTCTTAAATGCATTTAACAAAATTACATGAGCAATTTCTTACATTTCATTCCCTGGAAGATGTTTATATAGCAGTAAAGCCAGGCTCTTCTGCCCCCAAACACCAACCACCCAGTGCCTGCTCTCTTCATTTTTCACCGGTCTTATATTAATGCCATGGACAACAGCAGCATCAAAGACTTTGTGGGTTGCAAGTCTGTTGCCACTGTTCAAATGGTGAATATGTAAGTATTGTCCCTCACCTGAAATTAAGAACAAAATTAGTCTGTATCCACAATTTATGTACGTGTATGTGTTACATGTCCATTTCAGAGAGTTGGTGGGTGGGTGGGTTTGTGAGTGAATGAGTGAGTGAGTGAGTGAGTGAGTGAGTGAGTGAGTGAGTGAGTGAGTGAGTGAGTGAGTGAGTGAGTGAGTGAGTGAGTGAGTGAGTGAGTGAGTGAGTGAGTGAGTGAGTGAGTGAGTGAGTGAGTGAGTGAGTGTGCCGAGTGAGTGAGTGAGTGAGTGAGTGAGTGAGTGAGTGAGTGAGTGAGTGAGTGAGAGAGAGAGAGAGAGAGAGAGAGAGAGAGAGAGAGAGAGAGAGAGAGAGAGAGAGAGAGAGAGAGAGAGAGAGTGTGTGTGTGTGTGTGTGTGTGTTTGTGTGTGTGTGTGTTAGGGACTAATAGTATATTCTGAAATCAATCAACCTGTTGGATCCAGGTGCCTCACTGCCTGCACATTGCCAAATCCAGGCATTTGCTTACAAACACTTGTGTTAATGCTCCTCATCTCTCCTTTGCAAAGTTATTATCTCTTTATCTGCATAAGTAATTTTTGTTCTTTGGCCATTTTCTAAGGTCTATATTTTTCGTTTGATATACTGTATCAAGGAGGTAAGGTGGCTTGCTCTCCTCGGCGGGTTTTGCGCAGCTCTCGCAGTTACACCGATAGCCTCGGATGATGGAGTGGAATAATATACATACACTAGTAAGACGTATATTAGAGTCAGCCAATAAATGGCAGTTATTATTCCATATAGTTACTGAAATGACTATGTCGCCATCCTTTGTATAAGAACATAGCCTCAAGGTCGAG